AAGTCACTAGCCCGATATTGAGGATGTTACACGGATCCTCCTCCAGGTAATAGCCCTAGGAATATCATTTGAATTTTTTATTGCATATGTCCGCATGAGGGGAAAAGCCTCAAATATCCAAATCTACAAATAATATAATACACAAACATTAGTAATTGTTAAATAATTAATTATAATTTTGGAAACATTATATAGAAATTCTTACCTTAAAGGCCCAAATAAAGCCTACCAAAGTGTATTTGGAACCATGGCCACGCAAACTACGACGGTCCTCAAAGGCAGACAAAAACTTTTTCCCAGGTAGCTTTCCATAGATATGAATCCCACGGAAACACGTTCCATGCATTTAGGTCCTCTATCAATAATATTAAATCCTCAGAAATAGGTTGTTTGCCCTTTTTGCCTAAAAAGCCGTCATTCAAAAGTAATAAAAGGCATACTCGGACAACATCAAGGTCATCCATCCGAGTAAAACCATCTTTAAGAAGTAATATTTTCAAATCGTCGACGTGTAAATTGGGCTTCGCCTTTGCCAGCTCAGGAAAAACCCGAAATAACCATGATGGGCAGGGGATATGACTAGTGTACCTACTTACTTCATCGTGTCGTACGAAACGTAGACCAGTGATTAAGCAAAACTCCTCCCGCCCAAAATAAGTATATGCCGGTGGAAAATGAAACCATATCTCTTCATCACCACGTTGTATCCTCTCGAGTAGATCGTTAGTCATGGTCTGAAGAAACAAATGGGTCAACATAACATCTCCACCTGGATGTTGTAATTTCAGCCATGACCCGAAACAAGTATTCGCAAACAACTTTCTTTGTACAAGTGTAAGTGTCGACGCAATTGTAGTGGCTAGGCTTAATTTATTCCTTAAAGTCAATGAAGCCGAAAAAAATCCTAACAAAAACAATAAACATACCAAGTTAGATATACCAAAAACTACAAATTATACACTATAAACATACATGATATTAAACAGGGAAAATATAGCCAAACATGTTTCAAACTAGTACGGTATTCACTCAAGTTATTATTTTATTATAGTTCACAAAATGTATCAGATAACATTCTAGAAGTAAACACTTATATAAACATTTAAAAGGACAAGAGTAGTAGTTTATTCTTGAAACTTAAATTCGTAACATTGTGAAGTTAGTATTTGTCTTTGTTTTTTGGTTGAAGTAATGCAATTCATTCAAGTTTCAATTTGCAGAAGAAGAGTAGTTTTTGAAACTTAAATTCTCAACACGAAAATGAAAATCGCAACGCGAAACTAAAATCGCGTTGCGATTTTCGTGTTGCGAATTTAAGTTTCAAAAACTATTCTTTTGCAAATTGAAACTTGAATGAATTGCATTACTTCAACCAAAATATTAACTTCACAAGGTTAAAGACTAAACAGTTTAGCAGTATTGGCAGCAACCGAATGAATTTACAAAGTAATCTAAGTGAAATGGTTAATCTATATATTGAAATTACCAGTAAATTTATCATCAATTTAAATATGAAAAATCTAATAATAATACAAAATTTTTAAAATAAAAATAATTAAAAAAAACTAACCATCGGTGGTTGATTTTTCATTTGTGGTCGTGAAGGTGGCTCTGAGAGATGGAGATAGAGGGGGTCGCCAGATATGAGGACGGATGTCGCCGTAGAGAGTGAGAGATGGAGATGTGACTGAGTTGTGATTTATGATTTTAGGTTATGAGTTGCGATTATACTGTTTACATTTGTGTTGCGAAATTAATATTGTGTTTCGAATTCGAAAATAAAATTCGCATTGCGAATTTGACTTATGTGTTGCGAATTACAAATTCACGTTACGATTTACAAATTCGCACGCGAATTTGTTGGTCGTTTTCGCAAATCCAAAAAAATTAGTTAAAAATCATATATTATAATGTATTTTCGGTCACTGAAATTATTTTCTCTTATTAAAAATAGTTGAATATATATAAATTTACGATAAAGATAAAGTTTTAGTTCACATAGACACTCAATTATACACAATCCATAGAATCTTAATTAGAAAAAAAGTTTATTAATTAATGAAAATCATTATCGATTATATCTAATCCACTCTCGCAGGATGTTTTTGAAAGCATCTGCAAATTGAGTTTTGGAACGAATACGACGAACAATAAATGATCTTGTACAAGTTTTATCATTTTTCTCATATGATTTTTGAGTGATTTTGAATTTATAATTTATTGTTTAATAGTTATAAAAAATTCCAATTATTTGTTTAATTTATAAATTTTATTATAATTTTAAATATTTTTTTAATTTTAATAAAATTAGTTGTTCTATTTGTATAAAAAATTTGTTAATTAACATAATATAATAGGTGTGAACAAATAAGCCCAGCTTCCAGGTAAAGAAGACGCAGGTAAAAAACAAAAGCTCATTTTTGTTCATCTCTCCGACTCTCAAATCAATTGCCGAAGTGAAGAAAACACCAATCGCCCCATGTGTGATTCCGTCCCTACTTCTCGCACATCACTTCATCAAGCTCTGAGTGGAGGCTTAGGTCTCATCTCTCTCTTTTCCAATATATATACTTATAGATCTGTTTCACTTCCATTAACACTTCTTTCATCATTTCTATAAATTGATTATTTTGGGTTTTCCTTTTTTTGTCCCGATTACAATATTTTCAGAGTTCAGTTGTAGTACAAAAATGCGTTGATTGTAGTGTTCAACATTTTTCTTTTAAGTTTACATGATTCCGATTTTTATTGGTGTTGTTTTGATCTTTAATTTTGGGTTTGGATGTGTGGGGTTTTAGTTTTATTCATGCCATTTTCGTTTTGTAGTTGCTGATGTGCTATTATGGAGAAACTGTTGTAGCGGAGTTGTAATTCTAGCCTCGGCAACGGCGTTTTGGTGCCTCTTTGAATTAGCTGGTTATAGTTTCGTGTCTTTCGTGGCCAATGTATTATTGCCTCTTGTTGTTATTCTCTTCTTCTGGGCCAAATCTGCTTCACTTCTCAACAGGTATTTCTCAATATTATTATCCCTTTAGCCCTTCTATTTCTTTCTGCACCCTTTTTTGTGAGATAAAATGTATGATGATTATTAGAGGAAACAGAAGTTAATTGTGTTGTTTGATTTGGGTTTAATGTGTAAAGTGGTTCTGGTTTCTGATACAGACCTTTGCCTCCCCTTCCTAATTTGGAAATTTCTGAGTGGAATGCTGGGAAGATTGCTAAGGAGTTACAAGTGTGGGTCAATTATGCATTGTCGATCACTCATGACATTACCCTCGGCACGAATTTAAAACTCTTTCTGAAGGTTTAGTTTTACCTTTCTATAAGGGCATTCTCCATTGGTTTGATATAAAACTTTAAAATGTCTTTGCTTTGTGTGTCTGGTTCTTAGGTTGCTGTTGGCTTGTGATTTGTTTATTTCATTGGTAGTTTCTTCAACTTCCTCACTTTTGTCTACATTGGTGAGTTATATTAGATCCTATTAATTTCTATAAAAGTGACGGGTCCTTTAAATTTATTTATATATGCTTATTTCATTCATTATGCTCTGCAGGACATGTTCTTAGTCTATCGGTTCCCATGCTATATGACAAGTGTCAACACCATATTGATGAGAAACTTGCTTTATCACACGAAATCATGCAAGCACAGTACAGGAAAATTGATGAAACGGTATTAAGCTTCCATTGCCCTCTAATAAAGTAAAGAAGACAAAGTAGGTAAGTTTGCTTCTTTCTGCCTTTTGATTGTATCAGTTTACAGCTTATTCATCATTTGGGGCTGCTCATGATTTGCCTGGATATTTTTCTCATGCCATAAAATTTTGTTTTTTTGGAGTAAGTATGAACATGGATTAAACAAGGAGATTTTAGTTTATAATCCATGTTATGTACGGGTTTGAGATGCGATTCCTTTGTGATAAAGCTGCAATATCACCTGGAGCAAACTCAGCCATTCGGAAATCATGCAATGACACTTGGTGATAGCAAAACCACTTGCCTCTAACAGGTCCACCTTTTAGGGCAGCTGAGATGAGATTATAAAATTAATGTGACTAAGACATTTGACCAGGAGTCGGTCTGTGGGTAAATTATTAAGTTCTGAATGGCCTCTTTAATCTAATGATCATATGCTGCTAGCCTGCTACTATCATCTAGGTACAGTATGTACAAATGGAGAATCATGTACTTCTATTAATTCAAAACTCAATAATTTTACGAGACATCTAGGCTTAAAATCTCTCATATAATTAATGTTGAACACAAACTTGCATGCTTTAGCAGAAAAGGTAGGCAAGTTTTGGGACATTGATGTGATAACTATAGACACAGATTGCACTACTTGCTTTCGGTAGCAGCACTCGTGAGACAAGATGTTAATTGTCAAAGCCAATTGTCTTGCTTGGGTTCAGTTGTTGCCACTCTGTTCCTCTCACTAAAGCTTATGCACTTATTTTTTTACGGGGTATTCAAGTGGTTAAGTGTGAACATGTGATTTGGTTTTCATAATCTGAAGCTTTTGATTTCTTTTTGCTCGGATTTTATCAGTTTTCTTTTACTTGATCGTTGGTAGCAGGGCTAACCTTGATAACTTGATTTTTGGGGACCCTTATATTCTAGATTAAGTTTTGGCCTGCAGGTTGTATACATTTGGGGCTAATTTTTTACAAGCTTATACATTTATTTTTCCTGTATGATTTTTTCATCACCCCAGTACGGAAGGAGATGTAGAGTACTTGTATGGGGCTTGCTTTGTTTTCTAGGATAATTAATTTATGTAATTGGCATAAATAGGAATCTGTATTATTCTAAATTCCAAAGTTTGCCACTTTTGTTTTGCATTATAAACCCCTGCATTTGAGGTAAATTTCCACTTCTGTTCTCCAAATGGCATGCGTTTATTTCTCCCTATGTTTGATTGCTTAAAGAAAATTTTAGAGTTAGAACATAAACTTTAAGGATTTTACCAACCTTAATGGTTAATTGTAGTTTATTACAAACTCATTGGCAAGGAAAATACAACCCCTGCCGTAATCATTGCCACATTCTGTATAATGTATTTAATGCAGGGATGAATTGCAAAACAGATGTGAGATCTTACAACTGAAATTCCTGTCAAACGGAGTGTAAAATAGAATCCAACTATTCTACATTTCAACTATGGCTACAAACCATGTTCCAGCATAAGCTTCAAATTAATGATACTTTACCAAGAACAGCAGAATTTATGCGACCTTGGGAATCAGACTACTGTCTGACTGAGGTATTGTCACGGAGCGCAACAGTTCCAATGAGAAGACAAGCCCCAGAAAATGAGAAAGGATAGTGTTACCTGATGCCTGCGCGACCACGGTGAGCAAGAGATAAATAAAAATATGTAATAACAAAAACTATTTCTCATTACAAATTCATCTTTGATCATCAAGTCTTGTATTGGCTGTTAGTTATGAGTCACGAAACCTCTCAACAAGAACCATGTAGAAGAACAGCAACCTGATAAGTATAAATGTTCCTCCATTTGAAACTATGGATATCTGTATTAGACTAAAAAAAAATGTAGCATAGAGGAAAGCAAACTTTAAATTTATGGGCAGTGCATGTATAGACTCAAACGCTCTAAATTTACAGGCATTTATACCTCTATATGTTAACCATGTTCTTCAAGGTATCTGCAAATGGTAAATATAAATACAACATACCTATTCTATACAACTCATTGCATACAAAAGTAACCAAACGATATACTTATTGCTTGCAGTTCCTTTTGGATACGGACTGGTAACTGAAAACCAGGAATTACATAGTTTTTAGGGAACAGGATCCAATAACTATTCCTTTCAATTCCCATCTTCTTCTTCCTTGAAGAGGGAGGTGTGTAGTGGGTCATATTAATGCAGTAACTAAAGATTCAATTTCTCAAACACGAGTTCAATGCGGTTAAAGATTACTGATAATCCATAAGAAGGCTCAAATTAGAACAAGTACCTGCACCAAGAATACATCCAATGCAAGAACAGGACTATAGCCGGGAGAAATTCCTTGATAATACGGATTTGCGGAGGAAGTAAGAGCCTTAGCAACAAGGAAGCCCACTGTAGCTTGCATGCCAAGAATGGCAGCACCCATTCCCAGAAGATTCAGAACTATGCCATTCTTCAAGCTTTTTACAACATCAGCACGGGGAGGAGCCTGAAAACTCAAGGGAAAAAACAGGATTTATAAGAGATTGAATGAGGTTCAAACATTAATCAAAAGCTCAAATAAGCCCTGAATTTGAGCATATACCAAACTGTAATATAAGCTTCCAACATAAAAGCAGCCCATGAAATAAGCGGCTTAATCTAGATCAAAGTCAAATGGACCACTACAACTCTTGGTGACAGAAACCAGGAGGTAAAACCTTCGTCTTATGCCAATCTTTGTACAGCCTATGTCTCTCATGAAGCCTAGGAAATGCTCTGTTAACTGGATGTGAACTATTGTTTGTCTCATCTGTGTAGCACTTCAACAAATCCTTTGTTAACTACTTGCAGTAGAATCTTTGATTTACTCAAGAAAAACCAAATATGAAAGAAAAGGTTGATGGAGTACGTAAGTGTAGATTGGACTAACTATATTAAGCATAAAAAAATATGAAAAAACGAAATAAGTATCCAGATTAATTGCTTTGTGTGAAGACCAATCTATTTACTGCAAATATGGAATGATTAAAGTTAAAATATCTTGATAACACTATTTGCGTCTATTTTAGTGCAATACTGTCAAGAACCTAACTGTCTAGAAAGTGATGAAAAAGAATATTGGAATCATTGCTCTCCTTCAACTCTCAGTATTCTCTCCTAATTGATGATGCATGCATAATTTAATACATAATGCATATCAAATCAGGTTCATGATCGACATTCATCCTAAACAATAAGGCAAGATACCAAAGAAGATTACAAGCAACACAGATAAAATTTCAGATAAGCATGTTTTTCTCCTAGCCCCTAGGATTTAAATATAACAACAAATATACTAAATGTAGAATGCAATTTAAGTTGATAATGCATCGAAAACTTTAAATTGATAACAAAATCAAAACTTCAAATTACCTTTGAGGGATCATTAGCAGTTCTCTTGAGCTTCTCGGAAAGCCGAATATACCCAAAGGACCAAAAAACTGATATGAAGGCAGCCACAATTCCACTGGCAGTAGCATAAAAAGTAGCCGGTGATGTGATTTTCCCAGTGATAACAACAGAAAACGAGAGTATCACCGCTGATACCAAAGTGCATACGAGCTGTCCCCAAAATCCTAAATTTCCCAATCGCTTAAAGTACCTGGACGTGCTCTCTAGCCTTTTCGCTACCTGCACCATTTCCATTCAAAATCCGTACAACTCCTCGAAGAAACCTTCATTTACACTAAGATCAAAACCCCCATTAAACAATCCAAAATTAACTCACAACATTTGTTCTAGTTCTAATCTGTATTTTGATATTACTAATTACATGAACAATGCGGATTACTGGTTGCATTTCTTTAGTGTTTTTTTTAGTTCTTTTAACTATCCAGAAGATATTATATCACAAAAATTTGAACAAGTTAAACCAAAGAGCATACACCCAAACCTATCAGCTAAAAGGGTAAAATCTGAGATTAAGAAAAGGAGAGTGAGGGGTACCTGAGCGAGCTTTGCTTTGTCAGCATCATCATTAAAGGAGGTAGAACTCGGTGAAACTGAGGAAGAAGAAGCTTTAACATTAAGAGGATCATAGGAAGCAAAAGTGGACAACAGAGGGTTTAGTTTCCGAGTTTTGATTGAAGTGAGAAACTCTGGAGGGAAGAGTGTGAGCGGTGGTCGATGACGGTGAGGCAGGAGGGGACCCATAGCCATTGCACAGATGCCGGAGCGAGTTGCCGGTAGTAATAGCGTTTGCATGATGATTAGTTTGCGGTATCGGACTTGGGATTGGGAGGTAGGAACGGAGCAGGGTTTGGCTTATTGTTCGTATTTTCGCCTTTTGGGGCACTAATAAGTTGATGATATAAAATCAAGGGTAAACTACCTGCATAGTCACTAAATTATAGGTATAGTTCTATTTTGAACATTAAATAATAATTTTTTCACTAAATCTCTTAATAATTTAAATAGTATCAATCAAGTCATTGACCGTTATTAATAAAAATTCTAACTTGACAGTTAAGAATTTTTTTTATAATTAATTATATATTTAATTCACACTATTTAATTATTATATTAATTTCATCTTAGTTTAATTTAATTCAATAAATTTAATCATTCAATCAAATGATAACATGCATTATCACTTAATTAAAATAATTTAATTTTAATTTTTTTAATTTAAAATTTTAATTATTAATAAATACATTTTAAATATTAAATAATAATGTTATAAAAGTATTAAATATTATTAGTTATATTAATAATTTAATTTAGACTATTAAAATAAAAAAATATTATATATTACTATATTAATAGTTTATTAGTTACGGTTTAATCTATGTATAATATGTTGCTCAATCTTAACTAAATATTAGACTTAGACTTAGTGATTAAGTACCCCTTTATCACATTAGACTCAAATTTGAATCATAGCAAATCCATTTTTAATTTCTTTAATTTTCATGAATAACACGTATATATAAAAGATAACGAGAGTCTTAATATAATCTGGGACATATGAAATAAATCCAACTTTAAATTTGGTGTGTGTGCGTGTAGAATACTCCTTGCTTCAACCAGATGTTGTCCTACAGTAGAGAGGCCGAAAACCTCTTTCAATAGTAACTTCATCCCAACCGTTCTCTGCAGCTAAAAAGACGCCTTCCATGAAAGCTCGGACTTCCACAAGTCCAGCTAATTGCTAGCACGAGAGTCGACGTGTATAGTCAACTACAAACAAGTCCATGATGGTCTCCGGCGATGATTCCGATTGCAACAGCTTTTGAATCAGTGTTTGAAGTTTCATCTACGTTTATTTTCAGAGCTCCATTTTCAGGTCGTGTCCATGAAACTTTGTTTTGGTTACGGCTCGGGGAGCTTCTGCTACAAGCAGTATTATGGTCAGATAAAAAAGAGAAGAACATTATCATGAACAACCTTTGTTGGCTGCATGGTTTCCTCGTGTACCCATTTATTCCTCCTTGTCAAAATGCTCCACAATAGAGTAAATAGTAAAGCAAACATGATAGAGAATAAAATTTATAGTATTAAATTATAATTATAATAAAATATAAAATAATTAAAATCAAATATATAATTATATAAATTTACTTAACTATCACACTAATATTTTCAATCTATTTTTAATTTTGATCCTTTCAAGTTCTAATCACTTTAATTTTTTTATCACTTTTAGTCCCTTGAATAATTTTAGATTGTTTTCGGTAAGATTTATTTATTTTTATTTTGAATTGTTTTAAGTTTAAGCTAATCTAAAGTCATATTAAAGTAATTTAAATTGTTGATTGTTTATAACTAAATTAAATTATATTATATTTGAGTCATATAAGTCAGGTTAAATTTTTTAATTCAATGAGAATTGAGGAATAGGGGTGTTCATTCGGTTAAAACCGAACCGAAATACTCAAATCGAATTAACCGAATTTTTTTTTCTTTAACCGTTAACCGAACCGAATTTTTTATGAAAATATTAACTGAACCGAATAAATTTCGGTTAATTCGGTTAATTTTCGAATTAACCGCATTTTTTTAGAATTTAATATTTTTTAATTAAAAAAACAGTTTAGGCAGAAATCAAGGCAGTGCTGCCTCACCCATGCTTCACTACACCATACTCCACCTGCCATCTCATGCCCATACCTTACACAAAAAGGCAGAAAAAAATTATAACCGAGGAAATTGCAACGGATTTAAGACTAGTACCATGAGTCTTGGTGCAGATGTTATTGTATTTTCTCAGTGTTGTGGAAAAGAGGTAAAGCAATTACTCTTTGTTAATATTTCTAGGCCAGTATAATATTTGTTAATTCATTTTTATGGGTTTCATGTATATTTTTAGGAAGTGGGGGACAATGTCCCTTGGATATTCTGCAAAAAGCAAAGTAGCAGACACCATTGGACAATGTATTTATGAATATCTATTATCTAGAAAAGGAAGTGGGAGGCAGCAGGGTGAAAAAACATTAAAAAAATATTTAATTCAGTTAATTCGGTTAATTAACCGATTTCAAACCGAATTAACCGTTAATCGAATATCCAAAAAATCATTAACCGTTAACCGACCGAATTAATTCGGTAACCAACCAAATTAACCGAACTAATTCGGTTCGATCAATTAATCGAATTAGTTCAAAAATTTGAACACCCCTATTGAGGAAGTTTAGATCAAGTTATAAGAAGAAGAGAAAACAATATCCGTGTATATATTGCTTGTCTTCACTAAAGAAAGAAATATGTGTAAATATTATTATTGTCTTTAGTATATTATTTATTTGGTTTTTTACTTATTCTCTATTGATCAGACAATTACTTTCTAGTAATTATATATAATATTATATATTTTTATTTTTATCATTATAATTAAATTTAATCATTAATTTATAAAAAAAAATAATAGTATAATATGATATAATAATAATTTTAATTACACAAGCTACCAGAAAAAGAAGGCAAATTGGCTTGGATCATGAAGACAAGACTATCAATATTTTGCATGTCCAATTGGATCAAGGCCCAACTACAAGGGTTAAACTTTTGGACTTTTGAGTCATTTGAATAAAGGCACGTGATTAACACGTGACTCGTTAAGAAATTGATTTACCGTTTATCTTGTTGATTTTGTTGACAGTCATCCCTACTAAAATTAGCTTTGAAATTAACTATGATTAATGTTTTTTTTCTTACCATATAAGCGGCATGATGTAAAATTTATTCACTAACCTTATTGACAAAAAGGAATATTATTTTTTGAAAAAATATTAAATTTAAATAATTAAATTTACAGAATATATATATATATTATCAATAGATTAAATTTCTTTTTAAATAATTAATTATTCCAATTATTAAAAAGAAATCGCATGTACTAACAATCAGTTGGTATAATGGGATGAGACACTAGGTCCCTTAAGCAAGGTCAGGGATTTGAATCTTAGCGTTTACGAATGGAGTAAACTGGGTTGGGAGGGTCGCCCTCATCTCTGTAGTACCCGATCTAAATTAGTCGATTAATAAATCGGATACTAGTGAATAATAAAAAAAATTGCATGTTGTTAAACAAAACTTTAATTTGGAAGGTGTTATTCACTTTTGTTGTTTTACGGCAATCTTTGGTGATTCCAAGTGAAACCTTGTAATCTCAATATCTGTACGATAATATTTTCTAGCTCTCCTATAATTAGGGGTCTCTATTCCTCTTCTTATTATGCTGGTTTCTAATTTCTTAACAAAGAGATAATACTTTATTGGCGATCCAAAAATTTAAGAATAAATGTTTAACATTTTAATATCCTTTTCTTTAAAATAATAAGTATATAATTTTTCTTTAATATTTTTCTTTAATATTTTTCTTTACACATTAAACTAAATTTAATTATTTTTTTAAAATAATGGGAATGACTTGATCCTCGAGTGGATTAGTACATCTGCCCCTACAATATTTACTCATTGCATATAATATTATATATATTATATATATAATATATATATTATATATATATTAAATGTAATTTTTTGAATTAAATTAATTATTTAACAGTTCTTTTTGTAATTATTGTAAGCTCAATTTGTTTTTTTTATAATTGTAAGATCAATTTGTTAAACACTTTAAAAACCTTTTTCTGTCTCATTAAATATGCTTTTTATTGATTTTTTTGTTAACTTTTTAACGTTGAATTATTATTATCTAAAATTTATATTGTTAATAATATGATATATATATATATATATATATATATATATATATATATATATATTAAAAACTTTCAATCAAGTAGTTTTTAAATATACATTTTATAAAATTTTATTATTTAAAATAATAATAATTCATATCCCCATCTTTATTACTTCTTTCTATATTTTAGGGAAATAAACAAAAAAGGAAAAATATGTCATTGAAATAAGAAAAATAGAGAGAACATTTTGAGCACCCACATAAATTTTAAGTCCTAAAAATTAGCCTTGAACACTTTGATTATTTTACGTATGCCCTTTAATTTATTTTTACGAAATTAAAAACTCTTGTCCCCAAAAAATGTCAAACACTTCGATTTTAAAAAATTATTTATTCAAAAATAAAATCAAACCTCAACTCCAAAAAAGAATAAAATTGATTATATATATATATATATATTGGATAATTCCATTATATTACCCAAGAAAACAAAAATCTTGCTACAAAGAACCATATGCTACATAAACATCAAAAGAACAATAATGAAAACAACAGGGAAAACATTAGCTCAAAATACCCCAACTTGCACAGAGGGTAGCATTCCTCGAATCAGTCTTGCAAATGGACCAATTGTTTAGACGGATTTGTATGGTATCCCGTATGTCATTGAGCACATCACCTACCAACCTAGCTCGTCCCTCGAATAATCTACTATTTCTCTCGCACCATAAGCCATAAACGTGACCAACAAGGGCAAGCTTCAGAACTTGCACAATGAGTGATCTGCCTCTGAGGAGTTTAGTAGCCCAGTCTAACTCCCTATCCCATGTACTAACATTGCGCATAATACCACACAAAGAGAGAACATTCCCCCACAATTCTTTAGCAAAACTGCACTAAAAAAATATGTGGCCCTGAGTCTCATATTCAAAACCACAAAATAAGCACTTATCAGTATCAATATTTAGCCCAATTCGCAGGAGTTTCACCCGAGTAGATAGCCTGTCAAGGATGGCCATCCACAAGATGGTACTTTGCTTCGTGTTGAGACCATTATCTGTACCAACAAACAGACATAAACCTCATACGTCATTTTTAAAATTCTCTTAAAACACCAACTAGCATTTAGAGGGATGCTCATCTGCAAAAAAAGCAGAGTCTTTAATCATATATGATCGAGCCCAAGCCACCCAAAGGGAGCCATTAAAAAATTATAAGACTTTAAAAAATCATCAATAACAAATAATATTTTTAATGAACAAGACAAATCAACTTATAATAATTATGAAATAAAACATTAAAAACTCGTATTAATTACGTCCATAATTAAATGAATAAAAATATTTTAGTAATCAATTGAATAATTTAAATCAATTCATATATAAAATATACAAAAAAAACCTACACGAGAAACTAAAAAGATAAAAAAAAATGAGAAGCGAGACTCTGTTGTCCACGGGTCATTAGATTTACAAGAGGCGTGGTCGACTCTAGTTTTGTAGGACGGTTCACAAGCTCCATTAATTATTGGCATTGCACTACAAACCAAACTCATCCTCTACGTAATTGATCAATTACCTCCATCATCTCATATATCGTGCTCAGGGGGGTCATCAGAATGGACTGATGATTTTTTTGAAAATTTTAAGTTTACGTCATTTATACATATATTATTAATGATTCAATTTTTTTTTTAAATTTTTTATATAATTTTTAAATTTATATCTTACATAAAATATTGTGTAGGTTTATATGAGAGTCACCATCTCTAACAAGAAAGAGATGATGTCCGGCCGGCAAAATATTATCAGCATAATCCCTCTTGTCACATTGCTGGAGACACACACCACAGTGACGATTTAAAAGACGTAGGAAATACTTTGTCAACATTTTCTAAACTGTTCAAATGTTTCTTATCATTTGAGATGTGTATCGAAGCAGCTAACCGTGCAATTGGGACCCTATGATTTTTGTCACATTACACCCCAAATATTTCATGCATCATATCAATGTCTATATCAATGTTTATATCTTAAGTAGCCACAATGAAATATTACTTTTAAGACAAATTAGAGAGGAAACGACAGCGGCTCGTGACAAAGATCCTAGAGATGCCAACTTCGTGTATTTACTTAACCTTAAATATTCTACATTCGATTAGGTATCCATCCCATCCCATACCACTTTTATTATGTCTTGTTCACATTCCGATTAATTATAATAGTCATATACAAACGTATGATTTTATGTTAGGAGGAATAAATTGTTAAATTTAAAAAAAATAAATTTATAAAATGAAAAATGAAAAAAACAAACTATTAATAAGATATTAAAAATTAAAATATATGATAATTGAAATTTTTTATTTGACAACTCCTTTAAATCGTCCTTTCAGTCCATCGATAATAACAGTCCTATATATGGATGGTTGGTGCATATAATAAAGTAAGATTAGTGGAAAGGAACATAAGGTGAAAAATGTGGAGGAGTTGGATTGGCAGTTGAAGAACAAATATTCGCTAAATTTGGATGACAACCAAAACACTCGCATAGCCAACACCCCAAGAACCGCCCGTGACGCACCCTCATCTTTCATGTGGAGAAAATTGTTCTTTTCTTTCTCCGTTTTCTTCCACCTTGTCCCTCTAATTTTAGCTATTTCCCAACTACTATCTATATATTTATTTTTCGAAATTTAGTTTATTAATTGTGTTTAATAATAAACAAAAATATATATTTTATCATATTTACCAAATATTCAAATAAATCATTAAAATATCAGTAATCGATTGATTTAGTGAGATTAGATATTAAATCTATTAAACAATATCAATGGCTCAATTTCAGCTTTTTTGTATAAAATAAATTAGGTTGAGAATATCGACTTTTATGGTACTCAATTTAAATTAGTCAATTAATAAATCAAATATCTATATCAATAAATAAATAAAAATTAATCTTTATATTATTTTATATTATAATTTTTCATCTTTCCAATTTCTTTTTATTTTGCGGAGCAAAATAAAAGAGAGAAGGGGATATACAAGACAATGTCAGCCACTTTTACTGTCTATCTAAGCTCCTTTCATCATTAAGATCAACTCCCACTTCCATTAAATATGATATTTGTACTTATATTCCTACACTTCTGTAGTGTAACCACAATATTAATAAGTTAAACTATCACGGATGTTATTTTTATTTTATTAATTTAATTATTAAATTTTAAAAATATTATATTTAATCACCTATATTTTAATTAATAAATCATTATTTCTCGTTATATTGATGATATGATATGTTAATAAAATAAACAATATTTTAATTTAACTCATAAATAAAATCGATTTAGAAGGAGCATGACAATGATGATAACACTAAGATTTTTATATTAAAGTTTAAAGAAATAAAATTGTAGAAAAGAAAGAAATAAAAAAGAAGTTTGGTTTGATGGTATTATAGACTTGAAGAAGATGATCAGAACGACGTCGACAATAAACAAAAATGATATGATGTAAATTTCATAAGTTAAATTAAAATTAAAATTATTTTATTAATATGTCCTATTATTATTATATAACAAGAATTAACAAGTCAATTAACAAAAATATAATCAATTAAAAAAAAGTGAAATAAAAACTATGACCCGTTGTAGTTTACTATAGAAAAGAAACAACTTTGCCTTCGATTTTTACTGCAAATTATAATATACTTTCTGTTCATTTTGTGGGGGTTCTATTTATTACCCATATCTTATCTCCTTTTAGCAGCTCCACCATTGATTTGGTTACCAAAACAAGTATAACTGCAGTTGGTCACCATCTCTCTCTCTTTCTTGGCTTCCATGGCTCATATGAATATGTAGCCTGAGATTCAATCTCAACTCATCATCCATGGCTTTCAACAATTGCTTCACTTTTCTTATTTTCCAATTTCTTTTTCTATTAGTTCCTTCAATGGCTCTCAACAATGATGGAATCCTTTTGCTTTCTTTCAAATACTCCATTCTCAGTGACCCATTTTCAGTCTTGCAAAGCTGGAACTATGACGACGAAACGCCATGTGCATGGACTGGAGTGAACTGCACCGAAATTGGAGTTCCGGGAACGCCAGATGCGTTCAGGGTAACCAGCTTGATCCTCCCGAATAGCCAACTTCTGGGTTCGATTTCAGAAGATATTGGCTATATCCAGCACCTTCGCCACTTGGATCTCTCGAGCAACTTCTTTAATGGAACCTTGCCGAGCTCTATTTTCAACTCGACTGAGCTTCAGGTACTGTCATTATCCGATAATGTCATATCCGGTGAGCTGCCTGAGGCCACTGGTGGGATGACTGGTCTTCAGATCTTGAATCTCTCTGATAATGCCTTGGCCGGGAAGGTACCCCATAATTTGACTGCTTTGCAGAACTTAACCGTTGTCTCTTTGAGGAGTAACTATTTCTCAGGTGATGTCCCGGGCGGTTTCGACTCGGTTGAGTTACTCGATTTGTCCTCGAATCTGCTCAACGGGTCTCTTCCTTTAGATTTCGGTGGTGGTAATTTGGGTTTATTGAACTTATCTTACAACAAGATTTCAGGGTCTATATCACCGGAGTTCGCGAAGCAAATTTCTCGTAAAGCCACCGTTGATCTCTCATTCAATAACTTAACCGGTGCAATCCCAGAATCCCAACCTTTGGTTAATCAGAAAACCGATTCATTTTCAGGCAATGTCGATCTATGTGGGAAACCATTGAATAACCCTTGCTCGATTCCTTCAACCCTTTCAACTCCACCAAATACGTCCCAATCCATATCACCAGCCATTGCGGTGATTCCAAAGTCAATAGATTCAACCCCAGTTGCAAGCTCAACAGCTGGAGAACCAAATAACGTCCAAAACCAAGCAAAACCCAGTCTAAATCCAGGCACGATAGCAGCAATAGCTGTAGCGGCTTTAGCTGGCATCTCCATTATCGGCATGGTCGTTCTCTACGTATACCAACTCAGGAAGGGAAAAGCTCTAACACAGAGCACCGATGCAACAAGCAACCTCGAGAAAAAACCGAACGTTCCACTCTGGTCAATAATGTCATCGTCGTGTTCATGCATTAAGTTAAAGCTCATGGAGTCATCGGAGACCACCAGTTCCGATAGTGAAATTGAAGATAAAAACCAAGTCTTCAATGTGAGCCCAGCTGAGGCGTACCAGAAAGGAGGGAAGCTAGTGACGGTGAACGAGGGAACGGAGCAGCTGGAGTTAGAGACTCTGTTGAAATCATCGGCTTATGTTTTGGGGACTAGTGGGTCGAGCATTGTGTACAAAGCCGTGCTGGATAACGGCACTGCATTTGCCGTGAGAAGGATCGGAGACAGTACAGTGGAGAGGCTAAAGGATTTTGAGATCCACGTAAGAAACATAGCCAAGTTAAAGCACCCGAATTTGGTTAATTTGCTTGGGTTTTACTGGGGAAACGATGAGAAACTTGTCATCTATGAATATATCTCCAATGGCAGCCTCGGTTGTTCCAGTTACAGTAAGTTCATCTTTCTACTTTCCGATTATGTTCGTACGTTAGTAGAAACTCTTATCGTTGTACTAAAGTGAGCTGCATTACCGGTGCACGTTAGTAACATCGTATACCATTTTGCTAAATTATACGAGTGCAATATGAACCGTCAGATTTGTGTCACCCTCTTTGACAGTACTGTGAAGAATGCAGAAAGTTTGTAGGTATTGAGTGGACTGTAGCCCGTAAAAGATGGTGACAAAAAATCTTTGATTATAAAAGTGAGTGAGTCAGTACTCGGTAAAAGTGATGATAATAAAGAGAACTGCATAATGAGCCAAGGGCATGGCATGTGGGGTATTGTGTCGTTTTCTAACGTGGGATTTGTCTTGTAATCCTTTTGTTTTAGTATTTGTCATTTTGGTTTTCATTTTAAGAATGTGATTCTTTTTTGGTGTTTTCTAGACCGAAAGAGAAACAAAACCCAAACAGAGTTTGCCTGATTGAATTGACCTAATGCTGTAATGATGGCATTAACTTAAGACAACATTGTTTTGTTTTGTTTTATTGAAAAACAGGAAGGTCCGGTTCATCATCATCATCTTGCCATTTCACACTCGATGCGCGTTTCAAGATCGCAAGGGGTGTGGCTCGGGGTCTGGCCTACATTCACGAAAAGAAGCAAGTGCATGGCAACATCAAGCCTAGCAACATCCTATTAAACTCCACTATGGAGCCTTTAATAAGTGATCTAGGACTCCACCGTCTAGTGTCGGCCATGTTTTTAAGCACCCAACAGTTCACGGCCTCTTCATCGTCGCCTTATCAAGCACCCGAGTTGATGAAGAACCTCAAACCCAACCCCAAATGGGATGTCTACTCCTTCGGCATAATTTTGCTTGAACTTCTTAGTGGGAGAGTTATCTCGGCCGGAGAGTTGGGACAATGGGAAGTACCGGAGGGTTCCGTCGGGGAAGAGAAGAACCGGGCTGTTAGGTTGGCTGATGTGGCGATAAGGGGTGACATGGAAGGCAGGGAAGAAGCCATGCTGGCATGTTTTAGATTAGGGTTTAGTTGTGCATCGTATGTGCCACAAAAGAGACCTTCCATGAAAGAAGCAGTTCGAGTCCTAGAAAAAATGGCTTCCGATTCGTCTTCTCTCTCTTCATGTTAAAATTTGTACTTTGTGATTCTGTTGTTTCCTCGTTAAAACTTGAATGCTTTGCATAAACAACGGGATAGATTAATTTCTTCATTGCCGAAAAAAGTGTAACTTGTTTGACCCATTAATCATATGAAATGCATATTGGTATTGTAATTTCCAATAGTTATAAAAAAATTAATGAATGATGACCAGATAGATAGTTTCATTGTTTTAATAGCTGTAAATGTATGGTGGAATACATATATATACACATTATTTTAAGAGCTCTTAACTGAAGGAGGGGAGAACAAGGTGCACACATCGGCAGTATCAATTTGCGCCATGATAAGTTTAAAGCTATGCAACCAAACAAGTTTCATACCTTCAAAAATACCCCAAAGCTCGACATATAAGAGAAGATGCCTATATTCTTGTTATAAGGAAATTTATTTTAGGGGTGTAAATAACGGGACAAATGATTATCATTTTAGGAGTGTAAATGAATACAGTTTAAATGAATAAAGTTATGTTTGTATTCATTTATTTTAAATGTGTTTATATTTAGTTTTGTTCATTTAAATTTGAAGTATCGCGTTTAAATATATTTTAAAAAAGAAGAAGAATATTTCCCGATCTAACACCCGTAGCAGTAAAGCGCGCCCCTGAACCGCGCTATACGCTGATTTGGCACCACGTGGGTATAGCGCGCCCCCTGATCCGTGCTATACCTGGGTATCTGACACGTCGGGTATAGCGCGGTGCAGGGGGCGCGCTATACCCCTAAATACCCAACCCTTCACGTCCCCATCCTCCCTATAAATACCCTATCCTCAATCACTTTTATCACACCAAATTCTCTCAAATTCTCTAAATTTCTCTCAAATACTCTATCTTTTTAAGGTATATTTTATAATATTTTTACTATTATGTATTTACTTTATTTAATATTTTACTAATATAATTCTTTTGCAGATATATAATGGAAGGCAGTCTACTTCGCTTGGATGGAAATCATATATCTCTACATTTTGTTGATACGGTAATATTTTAACTTTTTAATTTAATTTAAATTATTAGTAATATTTAGTTGACACAGATTTGATCCATTGCTGCTTTGATCCCAGCTCCGCGATCTGAAATGACACAGATTTTTTCCCTCGTGATAACATGTGCACGTAAATTTCGGAGGAAAAAAGCCCAAGAATCTGTATCTTCTCCTTCGACAAGAGCAAAAACAACTGGAAGAATGTTGCGATTGCCATCTTGGACAACTGCCAATAATTAAACTTGCTTGTATTTTCCATACAAGAAAGTTCCGTCGATCTGGACCATAGGCTTGCAGTATTTGGCAGCATTAACGCACTGTGGGTAACTCCAAAAAACCCGGTATAATTGGCATCGATCGCGAAGAACTTGATCATTATGGTATGCATAGGAGGTTTCGAAGTCCACAATTGTCCCATGATTCAACGTCCGCACTAGCCTAAATTAACCTGGAAGTTCGTTGTAAGATGCATCCCATTCGCCGTGAAGTTTGACAATGGCATTTTGTTTTGCCAACCAAGCTTTTTTATAGGAGACGGTGTACCCATACTGCGATTGTATAGCTGAAATCAACACTGCAACAGCTATATGAGAGCTTGTTTTTACCATGGGCATGATGGCTTGGCATATCACTTCAGAGTCCAAGTTGGGATGATCTTGGTTGACCCCTCCAGCACAACATGTGTGAGGACCGTTGTATACTGTTAGTTCCCATATGTTGTTTTTCCTCTTCATTTTCGATACGTGAACCATCCAATTGCATCCGTTTTCCCGTCGGGCACAGTAGTATACATATTTTTCGGTCGTCGATCGATTGACTCTGGACTGAACAGAATTACGGATATTGTAATTTTTGATAGCCATCATCGCTTCTTTTTTGCTTGAAAACTCCATGCCTAAAGATAACTCACCATTATTTATTGATGAGTAATATACATAGTCACCGAGATGAGGCATATTCGCAAATTCTGGCCCGTACATTGCACCATAATCAGCTTCATACATGTGTGCAGGAGGGTCAGTTTGTGCCACATTTCCTGGAACTTCATCATCATCGGGAGTTGAATTACGGTGATTCTTAGTGAATGAATAGTCCAGTCTCAGCACCATCCGCACCAGGCTCACGAAGCGGTTCTTCTGGTGGAGATGATGGTTCCTCCATGCTCTCCACATTTAGGTCGAAGAACCTACTACTTGCACGCCTTCCCCTTGAACTGGAAGGCATATCGACATTGAGATCGAAAAAGCTCGCAGTCGAATGCCTCCCCCTGGATCTTGAAGTCATCGTATCAAATAGAAATTGCACAGATGGTTGCGTCGATGACATCTTCATATGGTCAAAGAAATTTGTAGATGAATGTCTTCTCCTTGAACTGGACGCGGTGCTGCCATACGGATTGTTCGTGGACCAACCTCGACACATATCGTAAGGAGTTGCGGATGAACGTCTCCCCATTATGACATTAAAATCATTACACATTACTGTAGTCGGGCCGCTAACTTGATCAACTTGTTCAACCAATCCATAGTGTGAGCTTAAAGATTGACCCCGAACAACACGCACTTGAACAAAATGTGCATACATCTCAATAGCGGCGTCTGAATAATTACTTTGAGCTTCAACCATCATTTGAACATCATCATTGTTCGAAAGTTCGAACGTTGTATAAGTTAATGGCAACAATGATGTTGGAAATCTGTACTGCAACGATGACATTCTTCTGTTACTTCCAACATGAATCTTCCTCGAAATCTTCGTTATCAGCTCCTCAAGAGTTATGTTTCTCTTGAATAATAATATTTTAACATGCTCATTTGATACGAAAACAACGCCGGTTTCATCTTCTCGAATTTCACCATCATAATAAACAATAGCTGAAAGTCGCACCATTCTTTGAGTTTAAAAGTGCGGCAATATTATATATGCAAAAAAATAACTTAAACAAACCTGATTAAAAATAATTAGTATACCATTTTTTCAAATAATGATAATAAACAATAAGTATAATTAAAAAATTATAATAAAATTACCTTATAACGAAAAATCGCACAACTTCTAAATCAAATATAAGAAGATTGCCAGAATTATTACTCGTTGACGGAATTGTTGTATTAATTTATAAGAGAGGAGAGATGCGAGGAGATGTGAGGAGAGATGCGAGAACCGATATTTATAAACATATAAGGCGCGGTACCTGCACCACGTTATATGTAATTATTATATAGCGCGGATCAGGGACCGCGTTAAATATAATTTTGGTACGGCGTATAGCGCGGCCCCTGATCCGCGCTATACCCCTACGTGGCGTATAGCGCGGAGTAGGGGGCGCGCTATACCCCACATGTAACCCAGTCAGCGTATAGCGCTGTACAGGGGGCGTGATATACTCCACGTGGTGCCAAATCAGCATATAGCGCGGTTCAGGGGACGTGCTTTACTGCTATGGGTGTTAGAACGGGAAATATAATCTGACCGGTGTTAGATCGGTATATATACCGATCACCGGTTATTTTTAGGGAAAATCACCTAATAATCGAACTTTAAACGAACATATAAACAAATTTATTCAAGTTTGTAAACATAAATGAACCAAACACAAGTTAAATTCATTTGCCGTAAATTTTTTCAGATGCGAAAATAATATTCACTCATCCTACCTAAAATTCCCTCGTTGAAAAAACAATATTTAAAGTATATGGATTTAAAATATGTGGGTGGAATCAAATTTTCCATGTACATGTTCAACAACCTTAATACTAAAACTGTGGCTATATCGGCGGTATCATTTCTTTTTGGGTTAGCAACTTCGAACCGGCACCACCTAGACAAGGAATGAACTGTCTGCACGAATCGGCCCAGCACAAAAAAATAGTTCAAATCATTTTAACTCGATTTAGAAATAAATAATACTAACAACATTTTTTCAAAATTATTTATAAATTATTTATATTTGTATAGTTTTTTTATTTTATATTAGAAATAGCTAAAATTTAGTCAAATTGAATCTGAGCTTGAATATAAAAATTAATTTACTGTATAGATTAAAATTAAAAATTGATAATTTTATTTAAATTAATATATATATATATATATTAAAATTTAATATTTATAAAATATTTTAACAACCAAATAAATTATAACAAATGTCATCCTATAATAATATTATTTTGAATAATTAATACTATATTAAAAATTGTATTGCTGTTCAAAAAAATATTGATTATTAAAAATACTTAATCGACATATATATATTAATTTAATTTTTTTAAAACTCAAATCCAAATAGCCCTTTTTTCTCAATATGTAATTATATAAATGTTGACTAAAAATCATATTTTTCCTTTTTCTTACGATTATTTTTTTTAAAAAAAGGAATAGCTAGCAAATAGTTATTCTTAATCAAACTTTGTTTGTACAGCCTTCAATATTTCCAATTAAAAAGTAAATCAAAACAAATCAGTGGTTGTACATATCTACCGAACCGGGTGGGTCCCATCCCATCAGACCGGTCTTACATTATGTCTTACTTTTTTTATTAATTAAGATAACTATAAAATTAGATTAATTAAAAAATAATTTTTTACTATTGAACAATTACCTTTATAATATTCATGGTACTGGGACTTTTAGATAGTATCTGTCCTATTTTATATGGTTAGATCTTAGTTATTTGATATTTGTATTTCTTGTGACCAACACCTACCACCTTCACCTTGCAGAAGTTTCACGCTACTTTGAGGAGCGTGCCAACTAATCATTTTCTTTGATCCACCAACCTTTAATCATTACTCATTTAATTATAAACATAAATGTATTACTTTTTAGAATTAACTCTTTTAATTATGAATAAATTTTCATTCTAAAATAATAATAATAATAATAATAATAATAATAAAAGATAAAACTAAAGTAAAATAAACTGTTCAAAGAACCGATTTTAGCTCCTATAACCAGTGTAGGTAGCTAACCAGTAGGAATTCGTATTTTTTTTGCCAAAAATGGCAGATATAATCCCACTGTCATTATCGTCGCGTCACTACACGCTCCGACTTTCCCTCTCCGAAAGATAGCGGGGCGTGCAATCCTCCCAACC